ACATGCAGGGTCCAAACGTGCCATAGGCTAGAGATCTTTCCCAAAGCTGCTACTTATATACGGGAAGCAGACTACATACTCAAAGGCAGCTACTCAGCTGCTCACAGTAGATTCCACCATGGAGTTGATTACCAGTCCTATCATGGGGAATTCTGCATCCACCTGCCCAGTCACTCTACCAGGCCCAGACAAGTTGACACATAAACTGAACTACCACGCGCCCCCTGAGCTGTCTCCTTGTGGATAAACAGCCCTTCTGTCTCCCATGATTATTTTCTCCAAGGAGTGTATCTACCTCAGGTAAATATTCAGCTCATATGCCTGTCTTTTGTTTGGCTGGAAGCCACAGGTATGGGTTCCATTCCAGACCTGAAGGGCAGCTAGGGGCCATAGTCTCAGTAGTTCCACCAGGCTCTATCAGACCAGCAATACTGGTCCCCCCCCACCTTTTTTCTTTCATTTTTTTCGGTTTGAGAAATGCCAAGCATGTTCTTCCCCTTTGATTTTCAAACTCCAAGTCTGCACATTTCATTATAATACTTGTCCTCTTAAGCTGCCCTTTGAAATCTTCTCTTCAGCTCTTTTACTTCAAGATCTATCTATTATTTGTTCCATTTACTTTAGCTACTCTCTGTTCAAGAGCAAGTTTCAGCATCTTTTTTGACTTCCATTTTGGTCTTTTCCTTCTTCCCTGTCTTTTTAATGACCTTTTGATTTCTACATGTATGATGAACTCATCTGGTTCAGTCATTGGTATTCAATGCATCAAATCTATTCTTGAGATGGTCTCTAAATTCAGGTGAAATATACTCAAGTGAGATATACTTTGGTTCTTGTAGACTGGTTTTAATTTTTCTCAGCTTCAATTCTTTCCACAGATGCAGTCAGTTTAATTCTTATGTATCTCATTTGCTGAGGTCTGTGCGCATAGTCACCATGTATGTTGTTGAAAAACGTATTTGCAATGAATAAATTATTGGTCTTGCAAAATCCTGTCATGCAATCTCTAGTGTCATTTCTATCACCAAGACCATATTTTCCAACTACTGATGATTCTTCTTTGTTTCCACTTTTGTATTCCAATCACAAGTAATTATCAATGCATCTTGATTGTGTGTATTACCAATTTCAGACTACAAACACTGCTAAAATCTTCAGCTCCTTCATCTTTTGCATTAGTGGTTGAGGTGTAAAATTAAATAATAGTGGTATTAACTGATCTTCTTTGTAGGTATATGGATATTATCCTATCACTGAGAGTGTTGTACTTCAGGACAGATCTTGAAATATTCTTTTTGATTATGAATGCAATGCTATTCCTCTCCAATTTGTCATTCCTGGTGTGGTAGACTATGTGATTATCCAATTCAAAATGGCCAATACCAGTCCATTTCTGCTCACTAATGCCTACACTATAGATCTTCATGTACTCCATTTCATTTTGTACAACTTCCAATTTTCCTAGACTCATACTTCATACATCCCATGTTCCACTTATTAATGGTTCTTTGCAGCTGTGTCTTCTAATTTTGCATCATACTGCATCTGCAAATAAAGCTCCAGAAAGCTTTACTCCATCTACGTTATTAAGATCGACTCTACTTTGAGAAGGCAGCTCTTCCCCAGTCTTATTTTGAGTGACTTCCAACCTGTAGAGCTCATCTTCTGGCACTATATCAAGCAATGTTTATTCACAACATTTTCAGTGGCCAATTTTTTTCACAAGTAGGCTGCCACATTCTTCCTAATCTTAGTCTGGAAGCTTTCTGAAACCTGTCTACTATGGGTTGGTTACCCTGCTAGCATTTGAAATACCAGTGGTATAGTTTCCAACATCACAGCAACATGTAAGCCACTAGCGTTCATCAAAGTGCTATAGAGATAAAACATTTATGACGGCCTTTTAAGAAGTATGTGTTGGAAGGGCTGACATTTCCCCCTTGGAAGTGTTCATCTCTTCCAGGATGGGACAGAAATGTTTGTTCCCTCCTACAGTCCTGGTTATTGTTCTTTTGTCTTGATAAAAACTATCTGGAAGGGGTGGATTTTCCCTGGCCTGGAGCCAGACTGATGGAAAAATCTTTTGCCTGGGCCCACTCTCTGGTCCATAGGGCAATCTTCTGAAGAGGATTCTGAGTTTCTGACTGGGTTTATCAACCCCCTCAGTGGCCCCTGAAGGGAAATGCAGGACTGCTGAACTCTGGAAGAAGGAGGCTGGATGAGCCATCCTTCCCTGGTACCTCCTGACCCCTTATAGGCCCTTCCCTGATACCTCCTGACCCCTTACAGGCCCTGTGCTAGGCCCTTTGCATGTGCTGTCTCTGTACTCCTTATCTCCACCCTCTGGAGTCAGTGGTGTTGCTAGGTACCATCCAGTTGATTTCAACTCGTAACAGCCCCATGTGACAGACTACAACTGCCCCATAGGGTTTTCTAGGCGGTGATCTTTACAGAAGCAGATCGCCAGGTCTGTCTGCTGTGGAGCTGCTCAGTCGGTTGAAACCTCCAACCTTCAGTTAGCAGCTGATTAAGCAATGAACCAGTATTAGCATCTGCAAAACTGAGAGGTGAAGAGGCTCAGACAGGGTCCTGCAGCTAGTTAACTGACACAGCTGGGACTTAAACTCAGAGCCTTCTGACATCAGAGCCCAGGACCACAGCATTCCAGACTTTGGGGAATTTAGTGCTTTCAGCCCACCCATGGATCTGGGAACAAGGGTTTTCCAGCAAAGAATTTCTTCATCTGCTATTTCCAAGTGAACTAGGCCTGGCAGGTGCTTATGATTGATTTTGGTCTCTAGTAATGAAAGTCAGGTATTCAGAGCGAAGAAAGGAAACGTCTGCTCCTCTAGGTCACGAGGTCCAACCTCAGGAGACCTAGAGAGCCGCTAGATCCACCTTTTCTCCTTCCAGAGGAGTTAGAAGACTTTCGCTGTCTGAGAGCCCTGTTGCTTTAAACCCAAACCCTGGCTTGAGAGGAACGTGAGAAAGCGGAGGAGGGCGCCCGCCGACCTGCGGCAACCTGTGTTAGGTGTAGCTGGAGCTGCTCGGGATGCGAGTTGGACGGGGGCGGGCTGAAAGTTGGAGTAAGCAGGAAGTGAACCGAGGGCTGTCCCGAGAGGAAACAGACTAGACGAGTTCGGCTGCTGACAGGCCCTGGCCTCTCGGAGACATGGTAAGCGAACAGGGGTCGAGAAAGGGGGTGACTTAATAAGGAGACAGAGCAGCCCGGAGCCAGAGATTGTCTGTACTGGAAGTTGGTGGCAAAGTCCGAGGGCTGGGCCAGCGCGGTCTGTGGCCTCTCTTCTTTGACAGCTTGCCTGCAAATGGCTCCTAGCTGCCCAGGCGTCTGTTGCTATTCCTTTCCTTCTTTCTCCCTCCTCTAACCTACAAGGCGACCGGAACCGGGCGGGAAAGAGGGTGGGAAGGGACTAGAGCTGCCTGCCGCCCTCCCCTCTCCTGGCCGGCCGGGTGTCTGGTCGCTAGCTACATGGTAGCACCTCTGCTGTTTCCAGCTTAAATCCATCCAGCGCCAGGCAGTCTCCCCCTCGCCTTTCTCTTTATCCCTATACAAAAGCCCAAAGGCTTTGTCTGTCCACCGAGTCTAAGGTATTGGCCCCCTCTTCTTAAACTGAGGCCTAAGGGTTTATAAAAGAACCAGAAGTTGGTTCTCTGTGGGCATCTAGTTTTGGCCCACAACCTGCCCTGTTTGAGGACATTCAGTGGAATGGCAAAAAGTTTAACATTTTCCCCTCCCTGTTCAAAAACTTTGTTGTGAAACCTATGGAAGAGGCATCAGCCAGGGAGGGCTTGTCCTCCATTTCCTCCAAGACCCTGGTGTTTCAGTTTAATATCTGCATGAACAGGCAGTAGCTTGGGGCCTGGGCATAGTGCTAAGTGCTGGGAAAAGCAGAAGTTTGTGGCACAACGGCTTGTGGTACCTCGTGAGGGACTTGGACCCAGTTTGCTCAATGCTCTGGGTCACAACAATGGAACTAGTCTTAGGCTTCTTAGGAGGCCCAAGAGCGCCAGCTGTGGTAGTGGAGAAAGGGAGGGGCTGAGCTAGGTTAGGTGACTGTGTTTGGCTGGACAGACCACTTTCATTTTTTCCTAAATTTTATTAATTTTGTTTTTCTTGTGGAGACAATGGATAGCAAACATACACCAATTCAACATTTCTACAATTCAGTGACCTTGATTACATTCAAGTTGTGCCACTATGCATTCACCCTGTTTTTGAGTTTTTCCTCTCATTAACATAAACTCACTGCCCCCTACTGTTCCTATCTAATCATTTGAGTTGCTGATGTCAATTTGATTTCCACAGAAAGTTCTTAAAAGCTTGTAATGATCAAGGGAGGTCTTTTTTCACTAGTTATGCTAAATTATTGTTCAGTTTTAAGATGACTTCAGGGGATATTTTTGGTTTAAAGTGTAAAGATTATCTCAGGGCAATAGTTTCAGGGGTTCATTCAACCTCCACAGGTCCAGAAAGTATAGAGTCCATAAGAATTTGAAATTTGCAATGCAGACACTTTTAATGTGGGATCAAGGAAAGGCAGGGATGGTTCTGGGAACTTGTAAAGAGTGGTGGGTTCTGCACTGGAGGGGAAGGGACATCTCTGTTGTCTTCTGTACCATTCTCTAGGAAGCAGCGCGCGCGCGCGTGTGTGTGTGTGTGTGTGTGTGTGTGTGTGTGTGCGCGCACGCGCGCGTGTGTGTTGGGGGGGTGGGGGTGGTGTTAATGTTATGCTGCTTTTCCTTGTCAGGACCCCTGAGAACCTAAACATGAATTTGCTCTTTCTAGATCTCAGCTTCTGGAGCTTAAAAATGCCCTCTTTTTTAAAAAAAAAAAAATTAAACAAGTAATAAAGAAAAATATTCTCATTGGAAACAGTTCAGGCCTTACAAAAAGCTAAAGTGCACCTTATCCTCCTCTGGCCTCTGAGACAGTCTTTCAGTTCTCCAGGAATTTGCCTCATTAACCCTGTGTTGCCCAGGAGGAGACCAGTGGAGGTGGAGGCAATGACCGGGTGCGGAACCTGCAGAGTGAGGTGGAAGGAGTCAAGAATATTATGACCCAGAATGTGGAGCGGATCCTGGCCCGAGGAGAAAACTTGGACCATCTCCGCAACAAGACAGAGGACCTGGAAGCCACAGTAAGATGGGGAACTCCCTGGGGCTGGGGGAGGGAGGGTTGTGTGTTGGAAGTACACACAGCTTCCAAAAGGGAAGTATTTATTTGTGGGGCAAAAAAAGGAGAGACAGAGTTTGTCATTTCGGTTTCCTTTTTACATGTTTTGGGAATTGGTGTGAGCTGAGTCTTCACTCTAAGTCTGTTCTTCTACACTGAGTGGCACTGAGGCCCCAGGAATTATGTCCAGCAGCTGGGTCTGGGACGTTGGGTGGTGGTGGTGATGAGAGTTGACCCCTGAGGCATTTTCTGAAACAGATAGATGGCTTGTTTGGCCCATGTGTTCTTAGGTTTCCCTCCTATGAAATCAGTATTCCCTTTGAAGGCTGTCCTTGACAGTCATTTGGACCTGACCTCTCCAGGAAAATGTATTGAGTCTGGGGAAATCTCCTAGGGCCTTTGACCTTCTGCAGGAGTTGGTAGGCAGGGGGTGGAAAACTGCTGGAGTCTTGCTGAGTCAGCTTTAAAGAGGAGCTGGAAGGGCAGTGAGATTCTTTGATCCCTGGGTCCTCTGCCAGCTGAAGACTAGAATATTAGAATATTTCCTACACATCTTTTTTTTTTTTTTTTAATTGTGATTTGGGTGAAGTTTACAGAGCAAATTCATTTTCCATATAGCAGTTCATACACATGTTATTTCATGACATTGACTACAATCCCCACAGTGTAACACCCCTCTTCCCACTTCCTCCCTGTAGTTACCCCTTCCCTGTATTGTTTGGCTGGAAGTCACAGGAGTGAGTTCAATTCCAGACCTGAGGGTAACTAAGGGCCATAGTCTCAGGGGTCTCACAGGCTCTATGAGACTAGCAAACCTGGTCTTTTTGTGTGTGTGTGATTTTGAGTTTTGTTTCACATTGTTCTCCCACTCTTCCAGGTTTTACTGCATTGATCCTTTTCCAAGTGCTTGACGGTGGTAGCCAGCCGCCATCTAGTTCTTCTGGTCTCATGGTCATATAGGCTGAGGTTCACATGGTCCACTAGTCCCTTAGACTAATTGTGTCCATGTGTCTTTGGTTTTCTTTGTTCTTCTTTGCTCTGGACAAGCAGAGACCCATTGTTGCATGTAGATGACCACTTGCAAGCTTTTAAGACCCCAGTCACTACTCACCAAAGAAGGATGTAGAACAGTGTTTTTGTGTAGTGTTATGCCAGTTGAGCTTGATGTCCCCCATAACCACGGTCCAGAGCCCACAGGTCCAACTATTCACTCCCTCAGGGTGGTTGGCTGTGGCTAAGAAGTTATCATAACTTTGCCCTTTGTTAGCTCTATTATATATATGGATTTTCTACATCTTGTTAGGTCTCATTCTTCCCTCTCTCCAGCCAGAGGCTGAGCCTTGATGCTCAGGAAGGGAGCACCTCCAAATTCAGCAAAAGCTGGAGCCTCAGGTCCTATGTTCAGCCAGGAGAGACTGTCTCTGGCTTTCAAGTCTGGAATATAGCTCCTTTGAGTCCCTGGGTCTTATTTTTTCTTTCTGTCACCTAAGTGGGGGAGGATGACCCAAGGAAACTTAGTTTCTACAATTGAACTTGGGGGAGGAGGTGGAGTTTCCTTCATTACCAACAACAAGCCTACCACCTTCAACTGTCCCTATGAGGTAAAGGAGTCATGGAGCCATGGAGACGTGCCCCTTCCCCAGGGTCTGCCTTCCCAAAGATGCATTGAACTGCGAGAGTTGCACTCCTGGGTAGAGATGTGTATACAAGGACCCTCAGTTTGTATGACAGTGCCAAGGGTAAGAAGAGAAAAGGGCAGGCTAGGATCCAGGGCCCTACCACATTTGGGTAGAGATGTCCCTGGAGTCCAGCAACTCTAAATTTGAACCTGGCTTACCAGATGTTATGATGGTATACTTGTCAAGGTAGGAGAATAGAGCATTTTTTAATTTAACAGTTTGTCACTTCAGCTTATAACTTAAATATTCAGATGTACGGCATGTGGGCCTCCACTCTCCGGTGGCAGGAAGCACTGGGTCACTTACGCTCTTTTATTCCCAACAGTCTGAGCACTTCAAGACAACATCGCAGAAAGTGGCTCGGAAGTTCTGGTGGAAGAATGTGAAGATGATTGTCCTCATCTGCGTGATTGTCTTTATCATCATCCTCTTCATCGTGCTCCTTGCCACTGGGGTCATCCCTACTTAGGGATCCTCCTTCCCACCCTGCTCTCCTCTTCTGGGGCAACCCTCCCAAGTGGATGCCAAGAGGGACCCTCTGTCCTGCCCTCCTCCACAGAGAATGCTGCTCGGTCTAGTCCTCTGGTCCTTGAGGACCCTCTGCACAATGCGTGCCCCCGGGAGCACATTGGTCTGCCAGAAGGAGAGTGCTGGACTATGGCTGCATTTGACAGGTCCTCAGAGTGGGTTGGAGAAACCTAGATGGTCCATTATATGGCTGGGAAACTGTTGATGGCCGGTGGGTAATAAAGACCTTTCAGTATCCCTATGTCTGTGTGTGAGGCACTTTCTCCCTTTCTCTTTTGCCTTTGGCCCTTCCATTTCTTCTCTTCCTGAGGATACTCTCTCGCTGAGGTTCTCTCACTTGAGACTCAGGTTGTTGGAGGGGTAGAGAGCTTATGTTTGAAGGATATAGATAGAGCCTCCCTTTATTTCTTTATTCCTTGTTAGGACTAATCCATTCATTGTCACAGGTCTTAAGAGCAGGAATTTTCTGGAGTCTTGGCATAGGGCAAAATATTCACAGGGTTTTATTTTATTTTATTATCTTTAAAGCATAATTTATAGATTTATTTCCTTATATTTCTGGAAGCTATAAGTCTAAATCAGGGTCTTAGCCATGTTGATTACATCCTTGTAGGTAGTTCTGGGAATTCTTTGGCCTGTAGACAATCGTCATATGACATCTGTCTTCACCTGTTTGTATCTCTTGTATCTATGTTTCTCTTTCCATAACTTGGAAGTGATTAGGTTTAGGATCCACCCTACCCTGATATGTCCTCAACTGATTAATTGATCACATCAGGTTATATTATGGAAAGTAACTATATTACATTGCATGGAAAGTGATTGAATTATACTAGATTACATCCACAGGTGTAGTAGTTAGGATTTCAACACATATTCTGGGGGACATAATTCAATCCATTACAAGTAGTTCAGTTGGAATGAACTATCTACTTGAAGGTAGATAGTGGGGGTGAAACCAATCATCAGGAATCCTTAAAAGTTAAATTAAGGTAGTTTGAATTTTCTACCGTGAACAATAGCATGCCTTTGAAAGCCTAGAGCAGGGAGCACTAAACATATATATATATATATATTGACACTAAACATATATATATATTGACCCTTTATCTTTACAACAACCCTATAGGCAGGTATTCTCAACGGCACATAACAACAGCAACAACAACAACCATCAATCCCATTTTAAAGAAAAACTTTGTGTTGTTATTTGCTGTGTTGTTGTTGTAAGGTGCTTTGGAGTCAGCTCCAACTCATACTGACCATTTGTACAGCAGAACAAACTGAACACCACCCAGTCATGGACCAGCTTCATAATCCTTGCTATACCTGAGCCCATCATTGCAGCCTTGTGTCAATCCCTCTCCTTGAGGGTCTTCCCCTTTTTTTGCTGATCCTCTACTTTACTAAGCATGATATCCATCTCCAGGGAATGGTCCCTTCTGACAACATGACCAAAGTAGGTGAGACATATTCTAGCCATTCTCAGTTCCAAGGAACATTCCAGCTGCACTTCTTCCAGGACAGATTGTTCATTCTTGTGGCAGTGCATGGTACTTTCAGTATTCTTCACCAAAAGCATCAACTCTTCTTCGGTCTTCCTTATTCATTCTCCAGCTTTCACATGCATATGAGGCGATTAAAAACACCATGACTTGGATTAGGTGCACCTTAATCTTCAGAAACAACTTTGCTCTTCAGCACTTTAAAGAAGTCTCTCTCTCTGTTTTTTTTTTTTTTAGAATTTTTATCTTTGTAGTGTTCCCTCCCCTCCACACCCACCCCTGGTAACCAACAAAGTTTCTTTCCATATATAAACTTTTCCTTGACTTTTTACAATAATGAACTAATACAATATTTGTCCTTCACAGTATTTTAGTGTGGCACGTAAAACTCCTTTGTGTCCCCCTTGGATTCTGGCATGACCCTTTATTTCTCTTCTGCTGAAAATGTTACCCAAATATGAAGCCCACTTTACAGAGTATTAGGAATCTGGCATATGGCCTCCTGTCTTGCTTGTCATTGGGTCTGTTGCTATCTAGAACTGGGAGTTAGAGGGACAGGGCTGCTTTTCTTTTATTTGTAGTTCTACAAGTTCTGTTTGTTGCCTACACTGCCCTTCTGGGACTTAGCAGGGCCTCTGGGTCTCTGTTGTCTTAGGAGTTAAGCATCTCTACTCTACATCCCATGGCTGGGCACAGTCAGTGCCACAGGATAACGTCTATGGCCCTCCTTCCAGCCCATGCACAATGGGCCTTCTCCCTCCCCACCAGGTTCACTGTCATTGTCACTCTTTCCAGTGCCTAGTCTGCTTTTATTTGAGGAGAGGAGTCTTGCCATCTGTGCTTCTATTCTCCTTCTCCATGGGTTTTCCAGAATTGAAAACAACCTGTTTTGGAGGGGGAGTAGGGAAGGGGCAGTGTTGGCAGGCCAAATTTGGAACTAGTACTGGTAAATCAGGTTCTGGAATCATGTCCTCTGATCTGGGGAGAAAAGATGAAAGCACAGAAGAGACCCTTGGCCAGTCTTTACCATAACTATGCCAGTCTTCTGTCTCTCCTCAGTCCACTGTTGGATTGGAGGTCCAAAGAACTGAAGCAACCTATACCTTGGGACCCTGGAAGTCCTGGAGGTAGAATGGGTGAAACCCTCTTGGTATGGAGCTTGTGTTAACAAAGTCAGCCCTAACTGGGGAAGCCCCTCAATCTCCTTCCTCATGAAGGCCCTCATTCAAGATTTTGGATATTGTGTGGAGTGAGGACAGGTGGCTACTAATTTCTCTGTAGCAGAGAGTGGAAAGGACGAGTGCATTCAGTTCAGAAAAGCTCTGGAGTGGCATTAGATGCACCAGCCTCATCCCACGTTGTTGTTGTTGTTGTTAGGTGCCGTCGAGTCGTTTCCGACTCATAGTGACCCCATGCACAGCAGAACGAAACACTGCCCG